GCATTGCAGATGCCAAATTGACATTCGTAGTTACTACGAATGCAACCAATATGGAATTGGCGCAGTGCTGCAGCTGTCTCTTATACACATCTAGATGTGTATAAGAGACAGCTCATCCTCCCACCCCCCTCCCCTCTCCCTCTCCCACCGACCTGTCCTCCGGAGGCCTCCCCCACAAGCCCCTTTTGACCCCTCCTCTCCTTCCCGCCAAGACCTCTCCGCTGTCTCCCCTTCACGCTGACCCTCCCCCATCACTCCCTCTCCTCCTCCACTGTCTTCCGTTGCTGATGCTTGCCTTACAGGTGATGGGAGGGTTCCCAACATCACGATGGACTCCAGTTTTCATGTTATTCGATGCTGTGGGGCGGCTATCCGGCATCTCGGTTGTTGGAGAAGGTGAGAGGACTTTTCCTTTCTTTTCTTTTTCATCTTGGTGGTTGGAGAAGGTGAGCCATTTGGAAACGGGAATGTGTAATGGACTACCGACAGTAGGACCTATCTATTGAATCTGGTCGTTGTCATGGTCAGACACATATCAGGAAAGTTCAAGTGTAAAAATTTGCCCTTGGGATAAGGAGAACTTTGCTCATGTATTCCCTTTAACAGGGAATGATCTGATTGACGAGATTGGGGGCTGGGTTCTGACTACGTGTAGCAGTAGTAAGGTAACCTCTGAAGCTCGTCATTGCTCGAGTGGACGAGGCAGGAAGAGGCCGCAAGGTTGCTTCAGTTTTTACTTCTTGCAGATTGTGTTCTCTACGCGAGTAGAGCCTCACATAATGTGCTGTTTTTCTAAACGAAGTGTGCTTCCATTGTTTCCCTGGTCAATCCTCCATATCTGTTCTCAGCATTGCAGTTTGCATTCTGTTCCCCCAACGAAAAATGAAATGGCTTGCACATTCTGTTGGATTAATGGGCCAGTGGTCATCCCAGCTTTTGAAAAATTGCCCAGCGGTTAACACACAACTGCAGAAGGCTTGGAGTGCACATCAGAAAAGGGTAGATGGTGCCAGGCAAATCACGCACCACAATGGTTCAAACTTCAAATTCCTTAGCTGCAGGCTAAAATCCACATTTGTGATGACCCGACCAAACATGGACTGAAACACGCGGTTGAATTCTGAGTTTTGCTCGTAGACTGAATGCCTTGCTGAGTTTCCCCGCTTGCTACGAAGTTCTCTACGTCTGTGTGTGTGCACGCTTGCTGGACTGCATGTCTGTCTGAGTGCTGGTTGGCTTGAGTGTGTGTGTGGCCCGCAAGGGCACTTGTTCGTTCGTTGGGCCCTCAGGGCCGGTACTTACCGTGGCCGTGGCATTGAGGATTGCAGCGGGGGAAAGCACTCAAGTGGCGGGGTAAGAGGCCCGCAGCACTTGAAGCAGCGGGGAAACACTCAAGTAGCAGGTACGGCGGTACCACACCCTGAAGCGGTAGATGTGCCGCATACTGGAGGCTGAGCAGAAGAAGACAAAAGTGGCATTTTTAAGAGGCCCAGTAGTTGTAGGTTAGGTCTAGGCGGGTACCAGTCTGAGTCTAGGGCCTGTACGGGCAATATCAGAGTCTGCAATGATGTTTCCCTCCGAAAGGGAGGAGGTACCAGTTGCTTGGAAGGCCGAGCGGCCTGGAAGTCACCGCCCAAGAGGCATGCAGGCCGGTATATCTCCAGGTCGGGCGAAGAACCCAGCCTCATTGTCGGTGTGCAAGTTTGGTGACACACTGGTTGGAGCGCTGGCTGGAGCAGCGCTGTTGGGGAAGAAGCAAGGACTCGGAGGAGGAAGAAGGACAAGAAGGGGGAGGAGCACCAGAGGTACTTACCTGGCTATGGTGGCAGCCATCTTCATCACCTTGGTGGGCGCTGCAGCAGGAAGGCCCCAGCAGGGGTAGAGCTAAACCAAGGAGCTTCGAGGCAGAGTCAGGCATGGCGACCTGAGCTTGAGCAGCCATAGCTGCTTTGGGTTGTCCTTTGGGCATCAGAGCAAGGCCCAAGTAGTCCACCATAGCCTCGACCTTGGACAAGGAAGAAGAAGGGTGGCCATGGCTCTGGTGGACCTCATGTGATACCGCAGTAGAAGAGGGATTCAGACATTGATTCTGGTTCACCCATTCAACATGTACTATTTTTTCATGTGTGAATAAGAGAGGAGGAGATAAGGAGGAAGAGAAAGTTTGGCGAAGAAGAAGAGCTTCATCATTTGTCTATGCCGGTGTACATCATCTTCTTCTTCTTTCTTACTTCTTATTCTTCTTCTAACCCTCTCTCTCCTCTCAAGTTCATTCATTTCATTTCTGCAATTGGGCGGCATTGTACTATCTGATAAATGTGTATCTCGAAATTGGCCAGGATCATAACATTGGTATCAGAGCGGATTCCTCTTGCTGGTGAGAGTTGGCTTTGCTGCCCTAACCCTAACCTAAGTGGTTGAGGGCAACACTTGGTTAGGGTTGGATGTAAGGGAAGTGGGGCAGTGTGGCTAAGGGAAGCTGCCCCCACCTGGTTAGGTCATGTGGGGTCGACATTGAACCTAACGAGGTTGCTTGAGAGTGAGATTAGGGTGGCGAGACATTTCATGGAGACTTCCATGCGGCAACTTGAGAGAGGCAACAGTGAGAGGCACTCGCACCTGGAATCTGATTCAAGGGAAACACTTGGCAACTTAAGGGCTGCCCTCAAGTAGGCGAACTTGAGGGTCAGCGGCCATTCAGCATCTATGGACTGCAAGTTGCTACTTTGTTCTTCAGCATCGGCGGGGGACCCGGCGTTGCACTTTGGTGTCGGAGTCAGACGCTCCTAGGAGATAGGACACAAGTGTAGGGGTAGCGTTAAAGGGGTCAGCAGGATCATATGAGAGGGGGGTGAGTTCTATTCATCTCGAAGCTCAGGCCACTCAGGTAAGTGCCGTGCACCTACGAGATGCCCATGTATGTGTGCATGATATTGATTGTCCTGTTGGGGTTATGCTGGGTTTCTTTCCTACTCCTCTATGGTCTTTATTGTTGGATTGAATGTGTGTGAACTACTTACTCACCTGATCGATGGAGAAATGAAGTATCTTGATTTGAATGTCGAGTCCTTCTACAATGCTTTGTCTTTTCATCTCTGAACGGCTGTAGTCTGTAGGTTCTGCCGGAAGTTGAAATTCGTTCTTTAGTACGATAGAGACAAAAACTTAGTTCTTGTGGGACTCTTCTTGGTTGGGACCCGGTCACAACCTACGTGGGAACCTTGTGGACCCAGTGGGACCAGGCCCAAAAAAGAAGGGCCCCGTGGACCCGAATCTGTTATACATTGGTCCATTCTCTTCCTGACTGAGATTCAGAGTTTATTCTTGTTGGTTAGGACACCCACTGCCGGGGGGATCTCGGCTGAGACGTTTCGCATGCTTTTGATCGCCTTGTCCGTGGCTTGACTCGCACCTATACACCACTCAATTCTCCATTGTTGCATTTAGTCACTCGTTGTCTGATTTGCTGAACGGTCACGGAGCTGGTCAGATTGGACTCGAGAGGACCTCGTATGCAGTCTTACTAGACTGGGTCGCTGGATCAGACCTCTCCTGTGAATTTGTTTTTCTTTTCGTGGTTTGCTGCTCTTCAGTCCAAATGTAATGTCGCTCCAACTAGGAGTTCTACCTTCTCTTCTTTGAACTTTTCAGTTTGTTTCTTTTCCTGAGTTCATATTTTGATGCTTGTAGAGACACGCAGACAAAAGGAAGAGAGAGTGAAAGCCCCCATCTTGAGGGACCCGCGGAAATGGGCGATGCAAAGGCTTTTGTGGCCTTAAAGGCCCAACTGGATGCAGTCGTAGAGGAGGATAAACCATTGTTCCCAACTCTCTACGAGAAGGCACTGGCAAAGGAAGAGAAAGCCGAGGAGGAAAAGCGAAAAACCGTTGTTGCAAACCATGAGGTTGTCCTCAAAACAGTCTCCTCCTTGCCTGACACTGAGGTCAAGAAGGAGATAGCCGCATATGTACGTTCTCTTATAGATTGTCACCTACTCAGTGACATCGCTAAACAGATCACAAAAAATTCAGCAGAGATAAGTGAGCTACGGGCAGAAATGGCCGAAATGACCAAAGAGCACAAGGATGAAATGCGGCAAATGGCAAATCTGCAGAAGGATCAAATTCCTAATCCTCTCCCTCTACCTCCTGCCTCCAATGCTGCTAACCAAACCGTCCTCACTCCTCTCCATYCCTCTACTTCTTCTCAAAGTGTGGTTCCATCGGGACCTGCGGTAGGTGCAGATACTGTTGCCGCTACGACAATTGACGACGCAGGAAATTCTGCAATTGCTGCAGCCTCGAGTTCAGAAACAGCAATTGCTGGTGCCGGCTACAGCAGTCCCTATGTGGACGGGAAGGCAGTTCCCATACCGTCTAAGTACGACGGCAAAAAAGACATCGAGTCCTGGATCAGCTCCATGAGAGCTTACTTTGAGGTGCTGGGAACTCAACCAGTGAGCCAGCCCTTGATCATGGGGACCAACGTCGAGCCCGCCGTACGAGGCTTCTTAGAAGTCCAAGCTACGCAAGCCGGGTACACTAAGATCAATCTGACACAATTGCTGAAAGCCACACCCATAGCCACACTTGAGGAGATCCTTATCAAACAATTTAAGGATCCACATGTTGCCGCAAGAACCCGAAAGAGACTTTATGATCTCAAGCGCAGCAAGTGGACAGGCACCATGCATAATTTACAGTTGTTTGTCAGCAAACTTTTTGCTACTCCAGGACTGGAAATGACTGCACAATCATGCTTGGATGTTGTGAAAGGTACGGTTCCCACTATCTACATGTATCGCATAGGCAAAAAGCTCATTGGTTACACGAACTGACTTTCCTCATGCAGGATGTGGTCAACCTTGAAGCACAATACCTCATTACCACAACAGGTAGCAAAAAGCCTATTGGCGCCAGACGGTTCAGAGGCAAGAGCTGTTTTGTTGTGCATGACCTGTTGGAGGTCGGTGAGGAGGCCTATGCAGACCACCCCACTCTTGGTGACGACCGAGAACAAGAGCCTGACACGGTCTGCTCTTCTTCAGCCCATAACTCTGATGTGAATCATGAAGAAGAAAAATTAAATGCCTTCAGAAAGTTTGCCAACGTAAAGGGACCAAACCGAAATTCAGGGAAGAACTATATCTGACTTCCCAAGGGAGTCAAAATCCCAGCGAAACCGGACGATGCAGCCACTAAACCATGGGTTGGCCTCCGGATCACTGAAAATGATTGGAGCATTAGGCTCAAGAAGGGGTTATGCCTCATTGCCAGAAACCGAACCATAAAGTACATGATTGTTATAGGCTGCAGGGAATCCAGAATCGGGCGTAGAGTTGGCATCAGCACCCTCTACAGCAAGGGAAACTGAATCTGATGCAAGTCAGCAACCCTCCCTTGAAGCCCAATCATCTACTGATTCCAAGGCTGAAGTGTGTCATGCTTTGTATGTCGATCCTTGGGAGGAGTCTGAGACAGTTGACTTCCACTACCACTTGGAGCATTGGGCTGAGATGAAACATCAGCGTGCCCAAGGGACAATGAAGTTGATCTTCTTCAAACTTCTCATAGACCACCGCTATCTATGTGTCTTGATTGGTTGTGGTGCAACTACTAACTTTATGTCACCACACGGGGTACGCAAAGTGGGTTTGGGAATGAAGCAAGTGGCTTTACAGAAACCTTGTCGGACCCAAGTAGGCAACAAGGAAGTTGTCTCCTCCACACATGCAGTCAAAGGTGTGCGCACTACCTTTGACAAGGACAAAACCGTCACCCACACTTTGAACTTATGCCGTTGACAAGTGTCCCTTTGACGATGTCCTTGGCTTGGGCTGGCTGCAGTCCCAATGCGAATGGACCAAGTGGAAGGTGTCACTCTTCATGGTCAAAGATGCTCAAGGGAACGAGCTTCCCGTCCTCTTGGATGAGAAGCACGAGTCCCAGTGAAATTTCTGAATGTCATGCAGTTCTGCAAGAAATGGCGCGAGCACAAAGAGGATGAACAGTTTTATGTTGCCTTTGTTCGCCCTACTCATGTGCCATCTAGTTTTGCGCCTAGTACCAATACTACTTCATCTAGTGATTCTACTTCTAGCCCTTCTACATTTTTACCTACCCCTAATCTAAATGATTCTACTTCAGATTCGGTAGCCTCCATTCGCAACCTACGACCTGATCTAGGTGACCCTTTTGCTGACCCTTCACCCCCACCAGTCCCAACAAGCATCCAAAACCTACTTGACCGGTTCTCAGAAGTTCTAGCCGAACCACAGGGAATTCCCACGCAATCGGTCCGATACACCATCGAGTTGGTCGAAGATGTTGTTCCTCCAAAGGGCTGTGTATACCGAATAGGATCCGACAAGTTGAAGGAACTCCGGAGACAGATTGATGAAATGATCGACAAGGGTTGGATCAAGCCTAGTGAGTCTGAATTTGGTGCCCCTGTTTTGTTTGTCCCGAAGAAAGGAGGCAAGCTCCGCATGTGTATTGAGTATCGCGGTCTAAACCGCATCACAAGAAAGAACGCCTATCCATTGCCTCACATAGATTATTTGCTTGATGTTGCAGGTGGGTGCAAGGTCTTCTCCAAGATCGATCTCAAGTCTGGCTATCACCAGATTGAAATCGATCCTGCGGACCAGCACAAAACTGCGTTCAAAATACGCGATGGGCTTTACGAGTTTAACGTAATGCTCTTCAGTCTCACAAACGCACCGACCACCTTTCAACGCCTCATGGACAAGATCCACCGTGAACAGATTGGTCGGTTCGTGGTGGTATACCTTGATGATATACTGATCTTCAACAAATCCAAGGAGGAACACATAAAGCACCTTGAGGAAGTGTTCACCATCATCAAGAAGATGCAACTCCATCTCAACTTAGAGAAATCCGAGTTTGGGAGGTCGTCTATCTTGGGCATTGGTTGTCTGCTGCAGGCCTAGAGCCTGAGGCAACCATGGTTGAGGTCATACGCAATTGGCCTCAGTCCGCGAACATCCGCGAACTGCGCTCTTTCCTTGGTCTCGCGTCGTACTACCGGAAGTTTGTGCCCCGCTTCTCTATTGTTGCTCGCCCGTTGTCCCGGTTAACAAGTAGGAATGTTCCCTACGCTTGGGATACCACATGCGGGGATGCCTTTCAAGCCTTGAAAGAGGCTTTGGTAAGTTACCTTGTACTCCGCATTGCGAATTACAAATTGACATTCGTAGTTACTACGAATGCAAGCCATTATGAAATTGGCGTAGTGCTGCAGCAAGATGACGGCGATGGCTTGCAACCGCTCGAATACTACAGCAAACGCATACCCAACGAAAACGTAGTTACTTCCACCTACATGCGTGAACTTTATGCTTTGCGTATGGCTTTGGACCATTGGAAGCACTATCTTTTGGGATGCCACATCAAAGTGTTCTCAGATCACGAGACTTTGAAGTAGATCAAAGACCAAACTACCCTGTCCCCTACATTACTTCGCCGGTTCCATGAAATTGACATTTTTTATGTCGAGTTAAGGCACAAAAAAGGTTGTTAATCGAGTTGTTGATGCATTGTCTCACCACCCTGAGTACATGAATCGCCTTGTGAATTCCTACGACCTCCGGAAGAAACTGAAGGAGGAGATCGTAGTGCACACTGCTAAGGATCCGGACCCTAGTCCCATCCTTGAGCAGCTGCGGGATGATCCCAGCAGTTAACCTGATTTTCACGAGTATGGAGGACTGATTTTCCGTCGCTACGGGAATCACGACCGTTTGTGTGTGCCCAACCATGAGCCTCTTTGCACGCACTTTTTGGACTTGGCTCATGGCCAAAGTGGACACTTCGGCATGGCAAAGACATACGAAAACCTATTGAGACAGTTTGATTGGTCTGGCATGAAGGATTTGCTGAAAAGTTTGTGGCTAAATGTCAAGTCTATCAACGAATCAAACCATATAGACAAAAGTTCATGGGGCTACTTACACCCCTTCCCATTACCGATGGTCCCGGGGAGTCTGTCTCTATCGACTTCACCGACATGGGAAAGGTAAGTAAGAACGACTATTCGTAAGTCATGGTGGTTGTTGACCGCTTCTCTAAATTTTTTAATCTGATTCCTTTGCCATCTCATGCTCCAACTGAATTGGTGATCTGTGAGTTCAAACAAAAGTACATTCTGCACTTCGGAACCCCGAAAACTCTCGTGAGTGATCGGGACCCGCGCTTCAGCAGTACTGAATGGAAAGACTTCACGTCCCAACTCCCTAGCCTTAGGTTATGCATGACATCTGGCCGACACCCTGAAGCCAACTGTTTGGCTGAGGAAATCGACCAGACTGTGTGTTGCATACTTCGATGAGTATGGGCAGAACCAAAGATCAACCAATATAGGATGAGCATGTATGCAGCGGAAGTCTGATAAACGGACTGACTCACATAGACTGACTCACATAGCA